GTGAGACCCAACCACAGTTGTGGAGACAGTGGTGGCACTATTATGTGATGCTGGAGACTGTGTGAGAAGGCTCCAGGTTCACGTCCCAAGTCTGCCTTAGCACACCAGATGCAGTTCATGGCCTTGGCTGTCTCAGCAAGGGCTGGGGAGAGGATTGCTGTGTGAAGACCCTGTGGAGGGAGACTCTCTCTTTATGAAAATATAAACAAATAAACTTTTTTTAAAAAGGAAAAAAAAAATTGTATCCTGTGAGAAAAGGGGAAAAGATGATCTGCAGCCTATAGTAATAAGAGGAAATTCCAAAAGGTGTTTAGTCATCAGAATCAGAATACAAAGGAGGGCTAAGTACATGGGCAAGAATTTTTTGGATTTGTAAAATGATGGAAACAGGAGTGATTATACAATATCACCCATGCAAGGGGAAAAATATAAAACATTCTCAGATTACTGCTCTCAGAGTACTGTTCTACTTAGAATATGAATAACATTGAGAAAAAATAGTACCTAATACCATTTAATGTCTATCAAGTAATTTCATTTAACTGGGAAATGGCAGAAATGGAACAGGCTATCAAAATCTGGAAGTACCTGGAGGCTGACTATAATGCATTTCAGCTGCCCAATTTCATGTGCTGCATTAGCCAACACCAGCCCATGCTGGAGCAGTTTCTATTTTTAAGCCACAAATAGATTGTCATTTTAACTTTCATTTTATATGACAGAAAATGAAGCTTTAATTTATCTAGTATGGAATAGAAAAATGTTGTTTCAGTGAGGCTGCATCTAAGACATTGTTCATAGGGCCTGGGTGACAGGCCAATGACAGTGAACATAAAATAAATGTGGGGATTTTCTCCCTACCAATGAGAAAAAAAAAATCAAAGCAAACATTTTTCTTCTTCCATCGTTCTTCTTTAACCTGGGATTGCTGATCAAAGATTTATGTCCTATATGTGTGAAGTAAGCTGTTCTGTTTCATTACAGAGCTAAATAGTAATTCATTCACCATTTTTTTGTATTTGTCCTAAATCAAAATCAGCAAGTTGGGACCAGAAAATGGTGTGATGTTTACATTGCTGGACTCCCACATGGCTGACCATAGTTTGAGTTCCGAATCCAGAGGCTTCAAACTCATGCCAGACACGTGTGTGCATGCTCAAAAATCCCAAGAGGAGAATGGAGGAGAAGGGATTGTGGTGTGGCCATCCCTTCTGGGAGGGGGGCGGGGGTGATTTCTTGCTTTCTGTCTCTCAGCCTTTCTTTGTCTCTCCAGTGAGTGCATATGCCATATAGCAAAAATTTCTTTAAAAAAATCAGCAAGTTATAATTTATACGGTAACTAATGAATTTGTCCATAAGCATCCAAAATCAAACCATTAGTAAACTAAGACTGGGACCCACAAAGTAGGTGGGACAGAACATTTTATACAGAATGGTATGTCTCCCTTTAGGGTCTGACAAATGAAAATGGTAAATAATTTGAAAAGAAGACTCCATAACAGAGGAGTGAGCACAAATGTTTGTTTGCAAGTTTTTTTTGAAATGGAAGGACTTTATGTTATCTTTCCCAAGATGGATGAACCTGCCACTCCATGAGGAAACATTTATCCTATGCTCTTGAATTAGTTTTGAACTCAGGAAAACACCCACAAGACAAATCACAAATGGCTTAGAATTGTGTCCTGTGAGACCCAACCACAGTTGTGGAGACAGTGGTGGCACTATTATGTGATGCTGGAGACTGTGTGAGAAGGCTCCAGGTTCACGTCCCAAGTCTGCCTTAGCACACCAGATGCAGTTCATGGCCTTGGCTGTCTCAGCAAGGGCTGGGGAGAGGATTGCTGTGTGAAGACCCTGTGGAGGGAGACTCTCTCTTTATGAAAATATAAACAAATAAACTTTTTTTAAAAAGGAAAAAAAAAATTGTATCCTGTGAGAAAAGGGGAAAAGATGATCTGCAGCCTATAGTAATAAGAGGAAATTCCAAAAGGTGTTTAGTCATCAGAATCAGAATACAAAGGAGGGCTAAGTACATGGGCAAGAATTTTTTGGATTTGTAAAATGATGGAAACAGGAGTGATTATACAATATCACCCATGCAAGGGGAAAAATATAAAACATTCTCAGATTACTGCTCTCAGAGTACTGTTCTACTTAGAATATGAATAACATTGAGAAAAAATAGTACCTAATACCATTTAATGTCTATCAAGTAATTTCATTTAACTGGGAAATGGCAGAAATGGAACAGGCTATCAAAATCTGGAAGTACCTGGAGGCTGACTATAATGCATTTCAGCTGCCCAATTTCATGTGCTGCATTAGCCAACACCAGCCCATGCTGGAGCAGTTTCTATTTTTAAGCCACAAATAGATTGTCATTTTAACTTTCATTTTATATGACAGAAAATGAAGCTTTAATTTATCTAGTATGGAATAGAAAAATGTTGTTTCAGTGAGGCTGCATCTAAGACATTGTTCATAGGGCCTGGGTGACAGGCCAATGACAGTGAACATAAAATAAATGTGGGGATTTTCTCCCTACCAATGAGAAAAAAAAAATCAAAGCAAACATTTTTCTTCTTCCATCGTTCTTCTTTAACCTGGGATTGCTGATCAAAGATTTATGTCCTATATGTGTGAAGTAAGCTGTTCTGTTTCATTACAGAGCTAAATAGTAATTCATTCACCATTTTTTTGTATTTGTCCTAAATCAAAATCAGCAAGTTGGGACCAGAAAATGGTGTGATGTTTACATTGCTGGACTCCCACATGGCTGACCATAGTTTGAGTTCCGAATCCAGAGGCTTCAAACTCATGCCAGACACGTGTGTGCATGCTCAAAAATCCCAAGAGGAGAATGGAGGAGAAGGGATTGTGGTGTGGCCATCCCTTCTGGGAGGGGGGCGGGGGTGATTTCTTGCTTTCTGTCTCTCAGCCTTTCTTTGTCTCTCCAGTGAGTGCATATGCCATATAGCAAAAATTTCTTTAAAAAAATCAGCAAGTTATAATTTATACGGTAACTAATGAATTTGTCCATAAGCATCCAAAATCAAACCATTAGTAAACTAAGACTGGGACCCACAAAGTAGGTGGGACAGAACATTTTATCGTGGGTAAGGATTTAGAAATTCTACAAAGAAGCATTCAAACCTCTCAAGCCAAAAAGACAAAATAGTGTATTCATTTTTGCTGCACATTTACTACAGATAACTGTATCAGCATAATCCATATTTAGAAACCTATTAATTAGTGGTTAATTCAGCTTACATTTGATTCTGCTGGAAAAGACTGCACAAAAATGTGTAAAAGAAAAGTATTATCAGGAAGGTGAGAGTCCTGATTTGATTCAAATACAAACTGGTGCTCAAATCAGGGACTACAAAAATGTTTATAAAGAATAGCAAACCAATGTGATTCACAAAGCAGAGAGGAAAATCATTTAGGAAAGTGAAGTTTTTCTCAATCTTTGAAACGTACTATCATAAAATTGGTGACTTATTTTTTGAGAAATAAAATGATACTTTCAAAGTTGAGAATATTGAGTGAATATTCAGAGGGCTTTGGAGCAGAGAGAAAGAAACTGGAGAGAGAGATGATTAGAATGAAGTGTATAATGTGAAGGAGGGCACTGCCAATGACACTGGAGACAAAAAGGTTTTTGTAAGAAGAGCTGATGTGAATATTTACAACCAACCACAATAGATAGTGGTTGAGTGGGGGACATGCGAGTAACCCTGAGTGAATCAATGATGTCTGAAACGCTTGAAATGGAAAAGGTCTATGACCTTCCAGCAATGTTAAAATCACTGAGCAAGTTTAAAAGCAGAAACAATAAATTAAACATTCACCTTTCCTAGACTTAACATTAACAGAACATAAACTCTTCAATAACAATTTCACATGGAGTTGATACTCAGCTGTATTCATTTTTACCTTGTGCTGCTTTCTGGCTTCTCATATTTTAAATTATGATTTTTTTAAAAAAAGGGGAAAAATCTTTGTTTGATTTCTATGCCATATGGGAATTTAAAAAACAGTTGGAAGTTTCTCCAGAGTGGCCTTAAATCAGTTCATTTGGCCTTCTATAAATAACAAAGTAAGCACACCCAGGCATAGAGTAGATGGGGACATTGTCTTCACCATTTCTCTAGAAAATGATATACCTTCTGGAGTTCTGTTGGTTAGTTATTAGCAAGAACCAGATGGAGAATTATACTGTCTCCCCAGGACACTAATAGAAACAAGTTCTGGGATGTGTTTCTGAGGTTTTTTTCTGCTGAAATATGTTCTAACACAACCTTCAAGGCTGAAATTATCCTGACATTTCAGTATGAAACAGCCAGTATGCATTACTGGCTTTAATGTAATTAGGCAAAACCTATCTTAATTACTGTACTTAAGCTATATATTCTTTGCAATATGCTGTACAACCAAACTGCCTGGATTGTCAAGGCCATTACATGCATTGAACTAAGGTTGTAATTCAGCCTGACTGCCTTTACTATAAGGATGCTTCCAATTCCAACCTGGCAATGTATGAATGACTACAATAGATGACGGTGTGTAGAGGTTAAACGGAAATAACTAGCTACCTAGTGGTGATATTTTAGAATTGGGACACATTTTCTATCATCTTTTGTTATCTCCATAAAGAGATAGAGCACCAGATTCTAAAAATATAAATGACAAAGTCACTGTATAAATAAGAGTCAATATAAATAAAATTCAAGATAGTCAATGAATAAATAAATGTGTAAGTTATTCTAAAGATTTTATTCCTGAGACATAAATATCATTACTCTCTCGAATATTCTTTTAATACTTAAATGAATAATTTATTTCACTAAGGTAATCAAATAATCCTTGAATTAAAAATTAAATTCTCCAAGTAGCCACATTTTCAATAAGAAAAAGGTAGTTTATATATAGCTAGGTAGTATAATATGTATAGAGTTTCACATTTGACTATCTGCTATAAAATAACTTTTCTTTGATAGATTTTGGCAAAGAAAGTACAAATGATCCTGAAGATTCTGCGGATACCATAAGACATTATCAGAGTTCCAAGAAACACTTTGAAGAGAAAAAAAGCAGATCGTCCTCTTTCATTTCCTCCATTGATGATGAACAAAAGCCACTCTTCGCAGGAATAGTAGATTCCTCTTCAGGAATAGGGAAAGCAACTGGGCTCGATTTTGAAGAAACAGTGCCCACCTCAGGAAGAATTCACATAGATAAAAGAAGTCACTCATGCAAAGGTAATTAAGAATCAGGAGTCAGTTTTCCTCTCCGCTGTGCTAATCTTAAAATGGTGACTTTTCACAACGTAAGGAATTTACTGACAAATTAATCTAATCTTTCAATTTCATGAAATGTCTTCAAATAGTTCAGATTTCAGAGCATTTACAAAGTGTTTCCATTATTGCGGAGCAAGTGGCAATTATTTCTAAACAATAATGGCATCAGAGGTTTTATGGCTAATATCACTTAACATAATTCCTATTAGAAAAAGCCTATTGTATGATTCTAAAAGGAAGACAGGATCAGTGAGTAGTCACAGAGAGCTAATCAACAGTTTTTTATGTGCATCTTCTGTACTCATTCCTCACCTCCAACCCTATAGTTTTATAATCTGAAAGGCCAATGCAATCACACTATAATACAAGAAAAAAAGAATTTTACTTTACTGAGAATAATGAGAAAAGGAGGGAAAATGCACTAAAAAAAAGTGTATTCTTGACTCAACTCATTTGCTTAACATTCCTATTAAAAAATGTATGGATTCTGTTGTAGAAGGCATACATGACATGGGTAACAATGCCTGGTGGAAATATTTGATGCTAAAGGATGGATAATTCAGGAAAATCAAAAAACTATTACATGGAATAACAACTGATCACAATAGGAATTAGATAGATCTAGATATTAAGTGGTACCAGTAACAGTTGCAGGTCGGACTGCTTGGGTTTCTAACCCAATTCTGTCATTGGCTCCATTTATGACTGCATAAGTGATTTGACCAACCCCACTGAAATTCAATTCATGTGCCTTTAAAACAGGAGTAATATGGATCAATCTCATAGCCTAGTGGTCAGAGGAGCTGAATCCCACATGGCCAACTACAGTTCACGTCCTGACCCTGTGACATTAAGAATATGCCATGTTCATGGGCACATGCCCCAAATCCTGATAGGGTGGAGAAAATGACCGAAAAGAGAGTGCTATGTGACCATGTTCTACTGGGGGGAAGTGGTTCTTTCTCTCACTGGTCCTTTCTGTCTCTTTGGCAAGCACATGCACCCTCTGCAAATTAAAAAAATAATAATAAATAGGAATTTGGGAACAGCAGATGGCATAATGATTACATTGCTGGACTCCCACATATTCAACTGCAGTTTGACTCTCAGGCTCTTCACACTGGGCACATGTGCATGCGTGCTCAAAATCCTGAGAGGAGAATGGAGGAGAAGAGATTGCAGCATGTGCATCCCCTCTGGGTTGGGGAGTGATTTCTCACTTTCTGTCTCTCTGTCTCTCCAGCAACCACACATACCCTTTATCAAAAATCTCCTTTAAAAAAATTGAAATAATATTATATTTGACTGTGATTATTAAATTAGGTAACATGTAAGTTTCTTTCTCTGAAATAAAATCCCCAATGTTATTTTGTTTTTTCTCACTGTTTTTATTTTTCAATCCTTTGGTAACTTAATATGTGTTTGTATATATAAGCATGTAAAGATTAAGGCAGAGCAAAACATCAAAACAAATGATAGAAAAGAGACCCTTGTCCTGGCAAGATAGCAAAAGTGTGGTACAGAGTAAGTAAATATTACCTATCACCATCGCTGTTATTTGAAAGGATCATAGTCAACAACAAAAGATTTATTGAATCAAGGATATTTAGGCTTTACATTTTTCCAGTCTTATTTTTTTCAATCATGTCAAATCAACTCTTACCCTGACTCCAAGTTGAAGTAAGCTGAGAATATATGCAAATGTTCTCTGGGCAATCTGAAAACTTGATGAAGTGAATGAAAATAGTACCTCATTCATCACAATGGAAGAATAGAATATTAAATGTGATTATCAAATGTCTCATTTTAGTTATTTATGAAAATGGATTCTGGGAAGTGCTAAAAATAGAAGCAGGTTGTATCATGGAAATTAAAAGTTCTGAAGAGTTTGCTGATCCCTGTCCACTATCTCTAACAGTCAGTCTAACATGGGCTTGGTTTCTTTAAATAATGTTTTTTTTGTTTGTTTGTTTTCCTCTTCAGCTATAGCAAATATCATTTTGAAGATTTTTAACTTTATTAGGACTAACAGTAAATTCTCATGTCCTTCATCTTACATTTTTCTTTGCCATTTCTTCCAATTATTTTTAATTAGCTGTTGCACATGAACAATAAAAAATAGTATCCTAACAAATAATTTTAATATCTACATATTTTTAATTTTCAAAAATTTACAACACAATCATGATTTAAATAATAATTATCTTGAAAATGCATATCCAAATACATATATTAACTAAATAAACATAATTGATATATAGCTTTAAGCAGTGTGACACATGGTTAACTTGGTTAATAAATGTGATTAACCAATGGAGAATTCTGAAACTTCATTCACTGCAAATTCCATTCTGTCATAATTTTTATGGTGATGTACTGTGTAGCTTTCAAGAACTTAAATAATATGTTAGGTGTACCTATGGCTGCCACAGGATTACTAAATCTACACACAATTTCGTTTCAACAACAGATACTCTCATTCACCCATATTCCTGGCATTTGTCATTCTGAATCTAACAGAAGAGCACTTTCAGGCAAAACTGAAAGAAATTAAGTAAAAAAAAAAAAAAATTAAATGGACTCTGATCCTACTTAGATTGAGGTGAAAAGTTGACTATAAGAAAATTGCATAACCAGAATCAAGTGAAAGTTTACTTTCTGTTCACTTCCAGAATGTGTCTCGCAACTATAGCAACATTTTCCAAGGCAACCAAGTGAAGATTTTTTTTCTGAGCTATATTTAGAAAGTATCTACAAGGATGTTCATTTGATTAAGACCACTAGCCAGGATTTCCCATTTTTAACTCATTTTTCACACTGCTATTAAAACGACTAATCAGGTCTCTCCAGATTTTAATAAAAGAGTAAATTATAATCAAGGAAGACTCTACCAGTATACATTTTATTCATTTCTGTTAATATAATCATTTTGTTCTTAAGCACTGAAGAAAAATATAATCTTCCATAATTTATTGCATGTGATTTGCTGTCATTTTAAAATCAATTTATTATATATGTTCTGAAAATGAAAGAGCTGTGAAGCATAGGCAGAAGTTCTGTAAGCTTTTTTGGCACTTTTGTGGTGAGAACAATATGTAACTTCATTCCTATGAGTTCTTGCGCTCTTCTCTAAAGAATTGTAACATTACTACTGCATTAACTGGCTAGCAGTAAACTAGCCAAAAACGGATCAACATCATCAAAACAATGATATGTTTGTCCTGAATGGTTGGTATTGCTAGCCAAAAGTTGAAAACCTAGTTTACTAAGATATTACATCATTGTTTTGCATTTTAAATGGGTTTAAATGTCTGTAATTAGTAAATCATAGCTCTCAATGAAAATCTGTGATAATTTTTTTTAAAACTCCAATATGATTTTTCTATATTTATTCACATTCTGTCAAGTTTGATGAACTATTGAAAGAAACAATCTACTCTTTTATTAAAAAAAAAAAGAAAGAAAGAAAAGTAAAAGTAAAAAGAAGAAACAAAACACCAGGATCCCCTAGTGTAAAGAACCCATAATAAGAAAGAACATTTCTGAAATCCGCCGCTAGCCCTGTGAAGTCTGTTAGCATAACCACAGAGCAAGAAAACTTGACCTTCTATTTTTCTAATACGGTCTTTGGATATGCTAATTCCCATTTGCTTCAGCCTTTCTTGACTGATGCAAAGATTATAGGCATCTAATTGGACAAATTTTGGTGTATTTGATGATAAAAGATAGTGAGATGAAAATCAGAAAAAAGAATACACAAAGGGTAAGCAATTTAGCTCTCTGTACTTTTGGAGAAGTTTAGGGAAGGAAGAGACTGAGAATTTCCCTGCTATTTTTCTTTATTTTTTTAAAGTACCTTTCTTTCTTTCTCTTTTTTTTTTTTTTTTCATCAAAGAGACAGATACTCTTGACAGGGTCTCACCATACCATGATCCTCTCCTCCGGACACTCAGCCAGCCAAGACTATAGGAGATGTGAACATGCCTGGCATGTCAAGGTTGGGAGCTTCTCCTGACAGCTCCCCATCACCTGCACCATGGAAGCTGGGCCCCCTGTTCCCATTTGTAGAATCAGCTAATCCTACCCTATTCAGTTACTTTCTATCCGGTTTTTTTTTTTTTTTAAATAGCTGAGGATGTATATTCCAGAACTTTACATAATAACTCTTCTCAGTGCTTAATCATAGTTACTTGCCAAAATTGAAAAAAAAAAAGGTTTTTTTTTTATCAAACTAAAATCACTTTCTGTAGTTCACATCTATTTCCATGTGAAAATGAACACCAGCTTTAGTCTTTCCCTCCTACTAGTCTTCCCAGTGAGGAAAAAATATGTTTCTCCTATTTTATCTTTTGAAATAAAACTCCAGACTCTGGTAGTATTTTTTCATGAGTTTTATTTTCCAACCTTTTAATCATTTTGTATAGCAAAAGCAGCAATAGTATATGACAAAAATCAGGGGAAAAGTAGAATATATATGCCCCCAGATATTAACAGAGTTAAAATACACAGAGTTCATGTATAAGAAACAGTAAATTAAAAGAAGTTCTGAAAATGAATCTCCATAGAAAAATCATTGCAACACTGCTAGCCTGAATTCTTCAAGTTCAGGGCCTTTTCTCCTTTGTCTTTAAATCTTGCACATTTAGCAGGATGTCTGGAACAAAAACACTCAAAACATTTGAAAGGTGTTTGTTTTAAAGTATAACAATATAAAGTATTCAGTATAAAAGACCTACAAGAAAGGAATATTACAAAATAGTGGGATTGTTTTATGAGAACACCACAAAAGAAACTACGAAGAAGTCTAAAATGAAAGAGCAGCTTAGGACTAGAAGACTGTATGACTTGCCATCTCTAAAGATTTACAACTATTTGGTTCTACTTTGAGTTGGGTTGACCTAAGAGAATCTCCCTGAAGATCAGCACTCCTTTCACTATTCTCTCCTTGGACCCACTTTGAGTTATGAAGTATGCAAACTGTTCCAGGAAAGAGCTCTAAAATTATTAAACCCTAGGTAAAGCAATACAAACAAAACATGCTGTTTCCTTCCAGAACTGAGTACAAATCATTGCTGTCTGATCAGTTGTAGTTTGGCCCTCATATCGTCTCTTAGCACAAACTGGAAGAATATAAAATCATAATCAAGACTCATGATTGGGCCGATCCTCTCGTGCTTACAGACCTGGATCCCACGGGGCTGACCACAGTTTGAACCTAGCCCTGGAGGCTTGAGATACACATGGGCTGTGTGTCTGTGCACGTCCCAAATCCTAACTGATGGATAAATAGAAGAGAAGGGATTCCGGTGTGACTATTTTCCACTGGGAGGATGCTTTCTCCCTTGCCCTCTCATTCTCTGTCTCTGTCTCTTTCTGGTGAACACATTTGCTCCCTCATAAAAAATAAAAATAGAAAAAAGACTAATGACCTGCTCTATGAATTTTAGATATATGGAAATGGACATGGGAGCTAAGGCAAGCAGAAGGTACAACCCTGCCCCCAATTTAGTCTTGGCTCCTGGACTTGTCTGTGACCATCTATGGTTCTCTGTCTCTTGGGTTATATTCCACAATCCTTTACAGCTTGTCTGATGAATATTGATGTGTTATTGATGCAAAAGGAACGCCCAAGATAGGTAACATGCCTCTGACTGTTTTCACAGATACCTCTGACACACGGAGCTGGGAACGAGAAAACGGCCTGTCTCAGACTGAAGAGTGTAGTCCGTCAGCACTTCAGCCTGCTGCCTGGGGTATCTCTGAAACCGAAAGTGACCTCACCTATGGAGAAGTGGAGCAAAGACTAGATGTGCTTCAAGAACAACTTAACAGGTATAAGCATCTTTTTAGATCTTTCTTCAGGACCAAGATTTAATATTTTGTGTGTGTGTCTGTGTGTGTGTGCATGTCCCCCTGTTATCATAGGTACTAATCATTGTCACTAAAATAAACCAAAGATTTACTTAAAACATTTCTTTTCAATATATCCCAGGGATGAAAGTATAAGGGAACTAACATCTAAGACTCATTTAATTTGCAACCACCCATTAGCAACAGTAATTGTTACTGTTATTTTGTTAAATTGTAATATTATTATATGAAACTTTTCTATAGCCAATTGCTATTAAATTACTTTAGACGTGTTCCCAGAATTAATGTCATTCTAATGTTTTGGGTTTTTTTTCTTGGAGAGTTTTTTGCTACAGGGCACGTGCACTTTCCAGAGAGACAGAGGGAGACAGAGAGGCAGCGTGAAATCACCCCCCGGGGGGGGGTGGCCACGCCACAATCCCTTCTCCTCCATTCTCCTCTCGAGATCTTGGGCATGCACACACATTTGCCCAGTGAGAGTATAAGCCACTGGATCCTGGATTCTAACCACGGTCGACTACATGGGAGTCCAGCGACATAGCCATTACGCTAATTGCTGGTCCCTCTAAAGATGTTTTGAGTTCCTACCACCAATACTACTTTTCCTTTAATTACATTTTTTCTACTTACTCTGATATTTTCATAAGCATTTTTTTTTTTTTTGCCTAATCAGCTTAACATTTTTGGATTTAAATCCTCTTAAATGATATATATTGCGTTATACCTCCAACAATCTTTTCTTCACTTTACAAGGCAAAAGTATGGAAAACAAGTTTGAAGAAGGCAGCACAATTTAGATTTCTATATTGTAAGATGAGAATTTGGGGACACTTTCTAGGGTTGGGTCTATTCTTTTTGGCTTTGGCTTTTGTTAAAAGGTGAAACTGAGTTCTCACACCATTTGTCTCATGAAAATACACATACTAAAAACACAATGCAATCAAACAAATACAAAAAAATCTATCACAAATGTTCCTTGCTGCTGCTTCTTTTCTGCTTTAATGGCCAGTTAAGCTATCTATAACAGTAAAGGCTTATATAAGAAATGTTGTTATATATTTGTATGTTATGCCTGAAGATAATAGTATTTAGGTATATAATTAATGTCTGAATTTATAGCAGTGTGTATCAAACAAATGTGTATTAGAGTCACCTGAGGATGTTTTTAAAAATCAGATTCTAGGGTCAGTCCATGTCATGGTGGTTAAAGCGATTAGATCCCGCATAGTCCAGTCCCAGATCTAGTGGCCTCGAAAACATTCCAGTCACATGTGTGTATCTGTACCCATAATTCCTAAAAGAGGAAGAGATAAGGGAGAAGGGATTGTGGTGTGACCATGCCTCATTGGAGGGGTATTTTCTTGCATCCTGTTCCTGGTCCCAACCCCTGCCTCTTTTCAGCAAGTGCACGCACCCTCTGGTAAAAATTTTTTAAATTCACATTGTATGTCAGTGGGTCCATTGTTGGCAGAGGTTTCACATTCTTTTTGTTTGCTTTTAATTTTGCCAAAGGGTGCATGCATTTTCAAAAAAAGAATGCAGAAATAAAAAGAGAGAGGGAGAGAGAGAAAGCACCATCAAATGTGGCACAATCATGACAATTCCTTCCCTCCATTTCTCCATTTTGTAGGGACTTGGGGCATGTATGCATACACCCAGTGTGTCTTTCAAGCCACCAGGTCTGGAATTTGAACCAAGCATCAGCCATGTGGAATTTGACTCCCTTAACCATTAGACCACAGGGCTGGCCCAGAGATCCCACATTGTAATGAGCTCGTGGCAATGCCCAATGCTAATGGTTTAAAGACTATACTATGAGCAGGGAGGTCCTAGAAAATGTAAAAACTGTTAGCAATGACTCTTTCCATTGCAGAACACCCATAGCAACTTATCTGTATGACTGTAATATGGCATTAAGTCCTTGATTATAGTGTTACAATTATTTATGCACTTCCTTCATTTTTCCTTCCTTAATGGTCAATTCCTGTCAGCAATTTGAGATCAGAATCGATGTTTATTTATCATCATATTCTCCTCTCACCTCCCTATCTGATACTATGCCTTATGACCCTTTGAATGAGTGAATGAAAATGCTGGTTTTTACACAACTATAAGCTTTAACAAAAAAAAAAAAATCCTCTAAGATTAAGCTGTCAGGGGACCAGCAGGTGGTGTGGTAGTTAAAGATACTGGACTCTCAGATGGCCGACCATGGTTCAAGCCACAGACCTGGTGACTTGCTTTCTCACTTTCCTTCTCTCCCATACACACCCTGGCCCTCTTTGGTCAAATTAAAATATGTAAATAAATAAAATTAAATTAAATAATTCTTTTTAAAAAAACATAAAAGATAAGTTTAATGAGACTAGCAGATAGCATAATGATTACATCACTGGACTCCCACGTAATCAACTATGATTTGAGTCCCAGACCCAGTAGGTTAAATCTCATGTTGGGTGCTTGTGCATGTGTGCCCAAAATCCTTAGAGGAGAATGGAGAAGAAGGGACTGTGGCATAGCCATACGCCCTGGGTGATGATTTCGTGCTTTCAGTCTCTGTCTCTGTCTCTCTGGTGAGCACAGTCACCCCTTAGCAAGAATCTAAGAAAAGAAAAGAAAAAAAGATTGGGTTATTTTCTGGATCCAACCCCATAACTTAGTGATTAAAGGAGCTGGACCCCACATGGCTAGCCACAGTTTGATTTCCAACCTTGGCAACTTGAAAAACATGCTAGTTGTGTACATTTCCATACCCCAAATCCTGACAGGATGACGATATCGAGGGGAAGGGATTGGGAATAACCCCACTGAGGGTTGCTTTCATTCTCTCTCTCTCTCTCTCTCTCTCTCTCTGGAGAGCATCGCTCGCTCTCTCTCCTCTCTCTTGAGCACATGTGCCCTCTGGAAGTTTATTTTTTTAAATAAAAGAATTTGCTATTTTCCTTTTTAAAAGCCAAGTTGGATTTTTTTTTTTAATAAGGCCAGTAGACCATAATAATAAAACATGAAAATACAACCGTATGCAAAGTAAATAAAGAAACACCACAAAAATCCCCCTTTGTTGAGTTACACAAGATATTACTAGTTGATAAAACTAAGTGTTGAGAGTCACTGCAGGGACAGATATGCCATGCTGTGGTGTCTCAGAAGAGGTAAAAGTAAGATATTTGCAGAACTTTGGAGTCTAGACCTTTCATAGTGGGGAGCTGGTTGGAACAGTGTATAGTTCATGATATAAATGTTTCATGGACTATTGGACACAGTGAAGTCAGGATCTTTAAGCAAGCCTCAATAAAGACAATTTATCTAATTAAACAAGTTATTGTTCAATTGAAAAGACTATTATTTCCAGAGTTGACTTGTAGAAATTTCCTTAAGTAGTGAAGTTGTTTATTGACTAAGTCTTTTTTTTCTTAGGCAAAGATTATCTGGAAAAAACAGCTAAGCCACTTTTATTTCTTGTCCAAGTCATGTTGACACTAACACGCCCAGTTCTCACCCTGCTCAAACCATTTTGCCTGCATATGATGTTCCTGTATGACTCCCACTCAAGGCAGTCTGCTACAATTACTGAGAATATAAATTCTGAAGCCTTCTCTTCCAATAGATTTTGTTCTCATAGATGCTCTTCACATAGATAGAATCCACGATATGAGATCCCGTTTTCCAGAGATCACTGCTGTTGGACAAAGGTTCAATAGGGCTCAAAAACATCATTGTAATTTTGGACTCTCTAATGGATCTTAAATCCCTCTCATTAATTATTGGGATTTTATTACAATTCTTACACTCAACTCTCCAAAGTCCTTTTATTTTCAGTATAATAAGTATTATGTAAGCCATTTGCCATTATATGTTATTAATAATGAGAATAATTTTTACAGAAATATTGATGATGAAGTTTGAATGTAAAATATTTTTGGAAGTTCAGATAAAACAGAAAATTATTCTGAATAGGTTAAATGAGGGAAAATTTGTGAGTACAGATAAATTTTACCTGGGCCTCAATGAGTGAAAGAGAAAAGTGATGTATAGCAGTAAAATAATGAGTCTACATAGCTGGTACCATAAAAACTCAGATCAGACTTTCAGGTAATAAGTAGATAAATAAAGAGGTTGACAACTCCATTTTCCCTTTTCAGAATGTGGTGTTGATATTTCCAAGGCACGATCTTACATAATTTACAGCTTAAATGACACTAAGCTATATGTATATGTTTACCAACTATAGAAAAACTGTAAGAATAACTTGTTATTGTGATTCTCAGAAGAAAGATTTGGAGTGTTAATTAACAGTACAAACTAAAAAGATTTCTTTTTCTCATGGTTTCCAGGTTTATTCTTTTCACTTTCAAATCAAAGGCTCAGTTCTCTCTACTTTGAGTTTTCCAAATATAGCACTAATTGAGCAAAATTAGTTCTATAGTCTTAACATTTTGGGTAAGATTTACCTTTTTTTTCATTCAGAGACAAGACAGTAAGCACAAATAAGTGAAGAGTTGGAAGAATTTTCTAAGGAGTCCAATGGCCCAAATTTTCTTTTCTTTTGCCCACAAAATTCCCTCAGATTTAATGCTGTTAATATATGCAAAGAAGGCAAACAGGCCAATGGTATTTTGCTATTGTCCCTTGAATTTTAGTTCAACATTAGAATAAGGCCCAGCCACAGTGCTACATGCTACTTAAAGACTAGACCTCATAGTCTGAGACCTGTGGGAGACGTGAGTATGATTCATACTCCATCATAAAGCCAGGGCATGCACCTCAAATCCAGTAACTTGCAGAGGCTGAAGCAGGAGGATCACTAGCTAGAAGTTTGCCTGGGAAACCATGAGACTCTGTCTGAATGAGGCAGGCAATAGTGATTCAGGAAGCTAAGGCAATAGTGTCTCAACATAGCAAGACCCCATGTAAAAAAGTAAAATAAAATGAGAATGAAATGGACAGTTGACTAGTGACCTTTGGGGAAAACAATGGTCAGATTGTTATTTTCCAAGAGAGGCCAGCAGGTGGTGTGGTGGTTAAGGGTGTTGGACTCCCAAATGGCCAACCACAGATTGGGTCCTGGACTTGGTGGCTTGCTTTCTCACTTTCTCTCTCTCTCTCTCTCTCTCTCTCTTTCTATCTCTCCCCCTCTCTGGTTGAATTTAAATAATTAAATACAAAGTTAAATACAATAACTAAAAAAAATATTTTGCAAGCTAAAAACATCATAGAAGTAAATGAACTTTCAAGTTTGCTCTATTATTTAAATACCGAAATCTCTATATTGTAGACAGGAAAGTGATTAAGCATTTAACACCATTTGACATTTTTTTAAAAATAAAATAATTAATACATAATATTCTACAAGATAAGTGGTAAAGAAGTGAGATAAAATAATTGTAATATAAATTTGAAACACATTAGAAATTGGCCAGAGGCCCAACTGCAGCAGTGCAGGCACTGGGGCTCTACTGCATGATGCTGGAGCCACACAGGTGCCCTGAGTTTGGACCCCAGGGTGACCAGATCCTGCCAGGAGCACCCACTCAGGAGGATAGAACTTCACTGGGAGCGCCTCTCTTGAAATAAATAGGTGCATAGACCTTATAAAAGAGAGAGAGAAAGAAAGAAAAAAGGAAAGAAAGAAAAGAAATATCTTGGGATGCTTCAACTGTGAAAGAGATCTACCAAATCTATGTTTTAATAGTATACAAAACATCCACTAGAAACTGAGTAAAATCCAATTAAAAAGCAAAGATGGCTACATTTAAAAATATATTCTGTTATACACACACACACACACACTCACACACACACATATATATATTCTATTTAATTTGTCCGTTTTTCTGTTAAAAATCCTTAAAAATGAGCAGGAAAGCTCAGATCTTTATCAGAATCATTAGTGAAACATAGAAACTGAGATGCATTGGTCAGGAAAGAATCCCTGCTCCCTCTCCTGTCCTTCTTGTTTAAAGCAGGACCATAATTCTATTGGTTGATAGTGCTGATTTTTTGTGTTGTTGTTGTTCAAATGCTTTTGCAATGCTGGACTATTTTAAGGCTGTCTTTTCCTATTTCTATGTGTCCTGCAGACTCGAATCCCAAATGACAGCTGATATCCAGACCATCCTACAGTTGCTGCAGAAACAGACTACAGTGGTCCCCCCAGCCTACAGTATGGTAACTGCAGGAGCAGAATATCAGAGACCCGTCATGCCCCTGATGAGGACCAGTCGTCCTGCAGCGTCCTTTAAGACAGACCAGAGTTTCGGACCTTCCTCACAAGTGAGTGCAGATATTACACAGCAAGCGTTCTCTCAAAGCAGAGATCACCCGAATCAGAATCAGTGGAGGTGCTGTGGAAATTCCAGATTTTCAGCCACATCTGTTTCTACACAATTAGAATTTCTGAAAATTGACCCAACAATCTCCATTTTAAAAACTTCCAGGAACCAGCAGATGTAACGGTTACCTTGCTAGACTCCCACGTAGTTGACTGGGGTTCGAGTCCAGACCCAACTACTTAAAACTCATGTCGGGCATGTGTGTTTGCCCAAAATGCCAAGAGGAGAATAAAGAAGAAGGAAATGTGGTGTGGCCATCCCCCAAGGGGTTATTTCTCACTTTCTGTCTCTCTTTCTCTCTGGCGAGTGCACACAATCTATAGCAAAAATCTCTCTTCAAAAATAAATAAAGAAATAACTTCTGTACTGATTCTTATGCTCACTTAAAATTTGAGAAAAAATAAGCCCAGAATAATGACTTCAAAAACTTTCTCTTTTAAGGAAAAGCTTAAATTGACCTACTTAAATGTATGTGTGGTAGAGCTTCAAAAGCCAAGAAATAACCTTGGCCAATAAGCACTTCAGAGAAAAATCTGTCATTTGCTTCAGTGACAAGAGGCTATATGGGGTCTCAAGAATGAAAAAGAGAAATAGCAACTGGCTAGATTAGACTTGAGAATCAGCTGCAATCTGACTAGCAATCTTTTCTTAACTTTTACCTTTTTTCATGATAGAGCATGTGTGCACATGAGAGAAAGAGAGGAGAGAACCCTCCACAGGCTTTGGTCACACCATGCTCTCCTTCCTCCACAGACTAGTAATCATCTCTGAACCCCACCCATCATCAGAGAACTCTGAATTTTTTTCTCCTAGATGAACAACATGGTAAGAGGAGGAACAAAAATATCTTTTATCCTGCCTCTGAAGCACTACAAGAGGACTAAGAATGATGTTAATTTGAGAAACGTAACTCCCTTGCAATTCTGTCTTGGAAATTATTGTTAATTACTTAAATATTATATCCAAATTGAACCATAAGAATAATGATTTTTTTTTTTTTAATTACCGGAAAGAGAGAGAGGGAGAGAAAAAAGAGAACCCCTCAATGGAATGTGGTTAAGCCATAATCCCTTCTTCGTTTCTCCATCATGTTGGGATTTTACACACATGTAAAATTTCCCGGAGGCACACATACCTCTGGAACCAGGATTTGAACAGCACAGACAGCCGTGTCAGATCTGGCTTCCTTAACCACTAGGCCATGGAGTTGGCTCCCTAAGAACAAGATCTTTGAAAGATTTATAGAACAATTTTGCAATCTTATTCAATGTTTGGGAAGTTAGCACAGAAAGGTATTTGAAATGAAACCAATAACAGAAAGTGAGGTGCTACAAAGAAAATAATGAGATCTTTGTAAAATACCAAAGTAGAAATGAATTGTTTAATTGGTTTTTAATTGCTGGGAAATATATAAAACCATGAACAATACGTCCTTCTTTGTGTTGAGTGGGTTTAGGTGATACTATCTGACACCAGAAGCTGACTTTATCTCCTTTCTTCACCAGGTACTCCTCCTTAAATGCCAGGCAAATTGCAAACTTGGGCTTCTTTTTCATGCAAACATACTAGATGTTATGTCATAGAAAACTCATTTGTAATTCTAAGTTCTTTTCAGTGCTGAAATACTTTCACTCAGCCTTCAGGAACTTGTAAGATGGAAAGGGCAATTTGGAAACTTTCCGTAGTAATTAAACAAGAGTTCATTATTACTAAGGTCACCTGTGGGGATGGTTTCCAGTAGTCTGGGAAGTGCTGGTCAGGATCCAGCTGTGCATGACTTGTCTGCACCCAAAAGCTTTTTTCTTTTATTTTGAGGGCAGCGTAGGTGGTTAGCAATACTTCACAATAGCCTTCCCAGTGAGTTGACAGTGTGTGATTTCTTCTAAAAGCCTCGATGTACACATGATCTCCTGGTCAAAAGGAATGGCTTGGACAGAATCAGGGGTGGCAGAGGTAATTCCTCTGAGCGGACAGTAGAGAATGAGAATGTCGTGCAAGTGTCAGTATAAAATTCCAGTATTTAATCTTCTATTTTAAGTTTATTGGTGATTCCAGAGTATGGTAGGATGAAAGGATTGGTGGACTGTATCAATCAGTGAAGTATTGTTCCACAGAAGGGGGAAAAAATCTTCCTGAAGGTACAGGGTTCTGGGGATAGTACTTCTTAAGTCTCTCGTTCAGGGCAGAACTATTGTTCTCCCAATGTCCTGACTTTTTGCACTATCTGCAAACACCTGGAGGCAAACAAAGAACTCTCTGTGACTGAATGAAAGAACAAGATCACTTTGAACTTTTAAAGTCATATATTTGTTTCTGTGAGAACTCAATCTGAAAAGCAAGGGTTGTAGACTTCAATTCTTTTTTCCTCTTGCTTTCCTCGAACCTATTTCCAAAATAATTGGGTGGCTACTTCCATTATAACATAGATTTCAACAACTACACTATTTTGGATTTTCCTCTTCATGTCTGGAAAGAGTTTTCCTACCAAAGCTGAAATGAGATTTCTGCATTCTGGGGATTCAGGAGATAATGCAATATGCCTCCACAAAACTCATATAAAGTGGTTGACAAAAGCTTTTGGGTGCTTTTTCTTTTTTTAGGATACATAATTCACACTTAGACCAATTAATCAGATGAGGGAAAGTTTCTCACATTGACCTAACAGGCCCTGAATACTGGCTCCTGGTGGAGACTTTTTCTGTTATTTGCAGGAGGAAAAGGGGATGCTCTAGTCATCTGTCCCCTCTGTGTATGCGGAGGGGGCACTCTTTGTCACCCAGAGAGCAAAGATCAAAGAGGGCATTCTCCCTGGTCAAAGCCAAGCTCTCAGGACATAAAACAAGAGAAAAGGAGAACCTTAGCTAGTTTTCGTCTTGGGGATCCACAGTAAAATTGCGTAAAACAGACATTGGTCTGTTGAAAACCAGGAACGCCCCAGTCTGTGAGGCCAGCTAAAACAGGCTTATAAAGACCCATCCCTGTGTTCTGCCCTACAGATTTCCTCTTCACGCCAAATGATACAAAAGACAAAGGGGAAAAAATCATGACGGGAGGTAAAAAAATCAAACGGAAAATTAAAAGATTCACACACACACATACATACACGCATACACACAAAATCACTTTATCCCCCAAACTATTGGGTCCTCAGAAAATCATCACACAGGCAAGTGGCATGGTGGTTAAGGTGTTGGATTACCACATGACTGACCATAGTTTGAATCCCAGACCTACCTGCTTGCTTTCTCATTCCCCCCAAATCCTTGTTTAAAAAAAATGCAATTAATGATAAAATTTAATAAATTTTATATTAAAAAAGTCATGATGCATTTTTGCATAGAAAAATGTCATGACTTCTCCGATGACTCGACCATTTACACGAGTGATTTTGTCCTGCCAATCTAAATTAATATATAATGAGAGACGAAAAGAGAAAAAACAAAAAGAATCTATTCTCTCTCACCTCAACCTGTCCGTACAGACAGAGATCTAGGCTAGTGATGTGGTGAGCACCCACCTCTGCCAGCCTTTTGTCAGAGATCCAGGATCCCAGCTTCACACACGATAGCAAACAGTTTTCCAGTCAGTGAGAAATGGCCCCACATTAGGCACCAAAATTTATAGAAAAAGTTCAAAATTACCTCTCCCCATCTTAGTACTTTTTAAATCTTATTTCTCTCATGAGAGTGAGAAAGAAAGAAGTATAAGACAAGCACCCATGGTAGTGTCTTAAGCCATCACACTCCTACCCCAGACTTCCCAGTCAGCAAGGACCCATCATGCATGTCTCCTGTCATGTTCAGGTTAACTGGGAAACTACACCCGTGATACTCCATGTGAATCCAGGATTGCCTGAACGTCTGACCAATACATCCCCAAGCCAGGCCCCATGTCAGTTCTTGAGATCTCCAACAGGGTCTAGGAACCAAGTTGACACAAGACAGAGGATGCCAAACCAAACTTACGTTAACAGGAGAAAACGTACAAATTTCATTGATTTTTACAAGTACAGGAAACCCTTGCAAGACAGTGAAGAGTTGAAGAAATGATCAAAGCAGGAGGCATTTATACTTTTCAGAGAATAAATGGCAAATATGATAAGTGTCAGGACAACAGGAAGTAAGCTAGGTGCAGTAAATTCCAAGGGAAGTCATTAGGAGATAATGAAATCTAAGGGTTCTTAAATAAAGTTTATTTGTATGGGTCCCTTGCAGCAAAAAGTTCCAGTCTTGGTGACAGAGGGAGTTATTTTTGCATCCTAGAATGGTGAAGGTATCTTTCTCTAAGAAAATTTTATGACGTCCTACATGTTGAAAATGGCAGGTTAGGCAGCACCTCCTATAGCTACAGTTTCTCAAGTACCATTACCTTGAAATAATCAATATATAATAACAGCATATTTTCAGGTGAATGTCTTCAAATGGTAGCTTAAGATGATCTAAAATGATAATTGGTCTCCAGTGTCTTAAGTCACTTTGGGAGGGAAATGCTGGTTAATATCACTAATCGAATATAGATTAATGGAGAAAGAAAAGAAATTTAGATTTTATGAGTGTAATTTTAGGTGACTAGCAATGTGACTTTTGAAAAGTTGTTTTCTTTTCCTTTTTACTAGTGTCCTGAATTTCTAGACCTTGAAAAATCTAAACTTAAATCCAAAGAATCTCCTTCAAGTGGGGCACATCTGAACACAGCTTCGGAAGACAACTTGACTTCACTTTTAAAACAAGAGAGTGATCTCTCTGTAGAGCCTCACGTGCGGCAAAGAAAAACTGACCTTCATCCAATTAGACACCCTTCTTTGCCTGATTCGTCACTAAGCACTGTAGGAATGCTGGGTCTTCATAGGCATGTCTCTGATCCTGGGCTTCCTGGGAAATAATCATTTTGTACTATTTACTTCACATACGATGTAAGTGCTTTTAATGGCTGTTTTCCTTTTTGTATTTATATCCTCTCTACTTGACTCAGGGGCTCACAAGGTACCATTATATGCAATAGTACTGTATATTTTCCTAAATTGACGCTTGTAAGGTAAAACGGAGCACTTAGGATGTAAATATACATAAGAACTTTTGTTTCCAAATGTTAAACTGCCAGCATCTCAAGGCACCTTATTTTTTATTTTTATTTTTAAATCATGTGCATGTTAGGAAACTCCAATTTCTCTTGCATGGAGACTCCTATTTACTGCTTTTACTAAATCAGTACTTTGTTATGAAAATGCCTTCCAAGCAAATAAGAAACCAAGGGGTAAAACTGTTCATGGAATGCAACTCAGATGATCCTCAACTCATGGAAGTTCAGGAGGCGAGGGGACTTAGTCACTTTTGAGAGCAGATATCCTCAGTATCAAGATATTTCTAATTAATTACACTCATTCCTATACACTAGGAAAAAAATCCAAAGTTTAAGAATCATACAATTTGGGTAGTATTGAAACCATCTCCAAATACATGAATATAGGCTACCATTAATGAGAAAAAAAGATCTTTCTACGTAAAACTGTGTCACAATTGCATTCATAAATCAACCAAAATATTTTTCATTGACACATTTCCTTGCATGCTTAAAGCCAAGTTAATTTTTCTTTCGCTATTGGCCAAGAGGGGGTTCCCCTTAAGAACTCTTTATATGTGACTGACTAAACTGGCACCCTAGAATTCTTCTGATACATATTTTAGAGTGATCCTAACATTTTTCAAAATAGTGGAACACATATATTTTTCTTTTCATAGGCTGTGCAGTCTCAGTGGATTTGGATGGCAAAGCTAGCTCTCATTATGCGTATGTAGTCCTATGGTGATCGATCACAGGTGTGGGAAAAAGAAATGTGCACTTACCTGCCTAGAAAGAAAATGCACACACCAGCAGTAAAATTTCAGTTTTGTTACTTATTTAAGCACTTTGCTGATCAAAAAAGGAGTTAACTTCCTAATCAGTTCTAGTTAAATTTTTTCAACTCAAGTACAATGACCAAATTATTATGGAAAAATCCATTATATTCTTTTTACTACATACAATTTTTGAAACTTTCTTAGTGCTTAATTCTTCTAGTGTTAAAGAAACATGTCTGTGCATATTATTAAATGGGTTCATTTCTATTTCTTCAGGATAGAAAGATAATCTATTGATTTACCTTTGACACTAATCTACTAAACAGTTTCAAATACAAAGAATTTATTTAAATTTATGAACACTATTGCACAGTTTAAATGTGATTAAATTGACATTAGATTGCACCCTATTTTTAAATTGTCACTTAAATTAATAATCTGTGTGGAAAGCAATCTGTAAGCATGGACATGTTCTCATCCCTGCTAGATTTTTGAAAAACCAGAACATAAGTGATCAAGTATATATAGCAAAATGGCCAGTCAATTTGATGAAAGTATAATAATTACAACCAGTTTCCCAAACCATTTGATGTTATACTTAGACTCAAATTTAGGGACTAACTGATGCTTTTACTCCCTCATTCAATAAACATTTAATGGGTACCTAGCAGGGGACAGAGC